TGGGGGCTGCTCTGCGGCCTCCGTTGAACATCTGCTCTCCCTACCGGGGAAAGAATACTGGCTGCGAGGGCCACACGCCTTCCCCGCCCCACTTCCCCCATCATTGTTAGGGCCGCTCCGCACTCGGAGCCATCTTCCAGGGTCCTTGGGCCGCCCCTGATCAGTATTGTTTCCTGAAGGTATTGTCCCCTCCCCTGAGTCCAGACAGAGCGGTTACCTGGCCTTGGCACATGGCTCTCCCCTCCCCCCCATCTCTATTTTTACACACAGCTCAGGGCAGCCCGGCCCGCCCTCCCACCCTCCCCTGTAAATAGACACTATTTTTTGAAAGTACCTGCGGGGCGGGGCGGGGGTCCCTAATGTCGCTTGGCTTTTGTTGTCGGAATCCTGGCTGTGGGAGATGCCCTAGAGGCAGACACGTGGTGTCTGGGGCAGGGCCGGTCCCTCGGCAATGCAAGCCCTTTTCTAGTGCCGTCATGACTTCCCTCCGTGTCCTTTTCCACCAGCAACTGGTGACTGTCCCTTGGGGCCTGGCCCTGCTTTGAGATGTCCTGAGGGGGAAAAGATTTGTCCATTTTTCTCCTGTGCCTCACAGCGTACTTGCCTTTTCCTATGTAAATATTGCCATGATGGACCAAGACAGAAGCAACGAACCTTTCCGCCTTGCATCAGCCCCGTGTATAAAGCCATTACCCCCCAGGCACCCTTTAACTCACTTTAAAACCTCTTTCTGAAGTCCCCTCCCTCCTTTTCTCCGGGGCCACTGCTCGAAGAATATGTATGTTTCTATTTTGTGTTGTATGTGCGCCTCTCTGTCTCCCAGAGTGCTGACTGTGGGGAAATCGTCGAGCTGCTGTTTTTAGACACAGAGAAGTGTAAATTATGTGGAAGAGGCAAACCTGATACAATTTGCACAAGGTAAACAGTTTGAAAAGACAAATGGGCCTGCCAAACTGTACAGTTCCTGCCCCAAGAGCTCTTAGGTATCAAAGTGTTGTCCTTTCCCCCCCTCTGTTTTTCTGGTTGAGATCGCGTCACTGATGAATTCCCAAAGTCAACGGAGGAGGGCGGAGACCTCGTGTTTACATGAGTTTCTACACGTTTCAGACAGAGACTCTTTAAGGCCTGAACTCTCATTTTACTAAAGAAAAATTAATGTCAGCACATGTTGCTAATGACAGTGGATTTTTTAAATAAAAAAGTTTACAGATCAAATGTGAAATAAACATGAATTAAATGCTCCTGTCTGTTATCTGAGTTTCCAAAAGCTTTAAGACGCCGAGAACATCTTTAAATTGAAAAATACATGCACTTTATAAAACACCTTTACAAGTGCAAGCAACAACAAAGCTACCATTTACTAAGTGTTTTTTGTTTGTTTTTTTTTAATGTGCTGGACACAATGAGGAGCCCACTATAGGTTTTGCTTCATTTAATCTTCCCACAAACCCTATGAATTAAGGAATATTATTATATCCATTTTACAGGTGAAGAAACTGAGTCTCAGAGGGCAAGTGATTGGCCCAAGGTTAACAAGAGGTGGAAATGCTTCGTATCAGCTTTGTCTGGTTCCAGGGTCTGTATTCTTAACCCCAGAGCCTTGACAGAGTCGCATGGTTACCACTTTGCAGAATGCTGCCAGCAGTGAGGGCTCTACACAAAGTGTGCCATGTACACAAAGTATGGGCTATATCCCAAGTGTGTGGATATCCACAGTGTGCACATACCGCAGGGTGTCTATATGCCCTAAAGTGTGTACATAGTCCAAAGGGTATGTATATCCCCTGAAGTATGGCATATGCACCAAGTGTGGAATATACTCCAAAATGTGTATCGCACCTTACAGCACGATAATGTACAACATGTGTGTAGCCCATGGTGTGGTATAAATACCTCAATAGAAGCATGTCTTGGTTGGTGGCTTGAAATCTCTCTGGCCAAAAGCTGTGAGACTGTGTCACCTCACAGCTTCCTGTCCTTCCTGTTGCATTTCTGTAATATCAAGTTCTGCCCTGCTGTCCAGGGGAGCTGAAGATCCTCACTGTACGGTGGTGGTTATAGCACTCGGAAGTGGGAAGGGCCCTTAGAAATCCAAGAATCCAACCCCTCATTTTCCAAGAGGAGTGGCTTGCGCAGGGTCCCACAGCTCTGGGTGACAGGGCTCTGGACCCACGCTGCCTTGTGCAGCTGGAGGCATCTGGAGCCGCTCTGTGTCTAATCACACACACAGCTGATGGAGCGCTATTCATCCGGGAGCTGGGTTTGAGGGGCCATCACAAGCCACAGGTCATGGTTTGGGGAAGGATGGACTTTGTAAGGCAGGCACTTTGTAAGGTCCTGGAGCACCCTCTGGGCCACATTGTCTTCTTTAACTTTTTTAGTGGGGGTCAGGGGGTGTGTCAGGGTGGAAGCCCTGAGAAGTCATCTGGGTCCTGAGGGGCCCTGGGGCGAGGGAAGGCATCGGTTCCCAGAGGTGTTTGGAGAGGTGGGAACATCTGACCCTGCAGACGGGGTGGGCAGGCTGCTGGTTCCAGTGACCCTTGCCTGGGGGCTCCATACCATGGCCTTTGCTGCCAAGTCTGGCTGCCTGGTCTGGTGCCGAGCCCGGCTCCCTGCCCCCACGCCAGCCTCTTTCTCCCTCCCACTCCAGGCACCCATCGCCCCAAAGGCAAACAGCACCAGACAATAAGCCAGCCTGGCAGGCCCTCAGGAACTGGGCTGTGTGTCTCAGACGCAGGGGCAGATACAAACAGTGCTTGCTGTTGACTCTTTTCTGCTCTGTCTGCGGGTCTGTGTTTGTCTTGCCTTCACCCCCAGAGGCCCTGCTCCCTGGGCAAGCGGGAAGTGTGGGCAGCCCCTCCCCCCCTTTTCCAGCTGCAGAGAAGCCTCAGAGATGGAGGAGTCCTGGGCAACATGGGGAGAGAGGGCCGGAGTCGGCAGGGGCATCACTGTTCATTGCCGAGGAGCTTAAGCAAGTCTGCAAAGGGGTGGGGTGGGGTGGGGAGGGGACTGGAGGAGGAGAAATGGCCCTCATGGGGGTCTTACCTAAAGATCAGGAGGTGAGACTGTCACCTCACAGCTTCCTGTCCACATCTGGTCCGGATTACCAGCCCAAGGGGACCTGTCTTCACAATGGAATCTCCTATTTTATGTGACTTTGGTTAGCGAATCAAAAGCCACTGGCTTTTGGGTCTAAAGCATGTTTTGCTAGATTTATTCCTGCAAGATGTCTTGAGTAGGAGGAGTGCCCTTGCTTGAGCCTGGGTGCAAGACTTTATTCAGTATCTTCTGTGCTATGGGGCTGGAGGGGAGAATGGCGAAAAAGTGCCTTCGGTTTCCCGCTCTTTATGACTCTATAATCAAATCAGAGTTTTAGAGCCAGAAGTTCCCACACACATCCTCCACTCCGATTTTGTGCTGTTGAGGGACCAGAGACCTTGAAAGGGTGACTGGTTATGGGGCCTTGTGGGGAACCTCTAGCCCACTGCTCCCTGACTCTCTGTCTGATGCCGTCAATATTCATCGGGAATCCTGTTTTGCTGTTGGATTTGGTGAGTTGCTGATCAACCCCAGAGGAGCCCTCTTTGCTTGTTCTGTGCCAAGCACCATGCCAGGCACTGTGAGGCGGCCCTCTCCCGTCCATGCATGTGTCCCGCAGAGCCCAGCACTGGTCCCTAAGTGGTTATTAGGGCTGCCCTGTGCTCTGGAAGCATTAAGGCTGCCGGGGGTGGGGGGTGGGGGGTGCAGGATGTGCGGTGTGAAGCATTAAGTAGCCATATAACAGTGACAGCGTTGCGGGGGTCAGTGGGTGCTGAGTGCCCTGAAGGTCATGGCATCTCTCTGTACTGTTGTGTGTGCAGTGGGGGAGAGGTCACTGTGGCTGGGAACTCAGGGAGTAGAATGTGGGAGATGGGGTGCCAGGACTGTAGCTGAGGAAGGGGGGGCAGGGAAGGCAGCTCGGGTTCCAGCAGCTGAGCCCTGTGGAAGCACTGCAAGGCCTAGGGCAGGTCTCAGCTTTCATTTCTCCCACCTGATCCCCCTTTAAGGACACCCATCCTATCAGGAAACCTACCTCCCTGACTCAAATAGATAGAAGGATCCAAGCACCCAGGCTCCTGCCCTTGGCAGAGCCAGGGCCCACCACCAGGCCTGGAGTGCAGGTGTCTGCCCTGGGCCCGCAGCGCCCACAGTGGGCCTGAGGGTCTGGGACGCTCGGTAGAGGGCGTGCCTGCGAGGGAAGCCATGCGGAGTCACGCAGCACAATCACCAACACCAGGATTTGTTTTGAAAATAGCATCGATCTCTTCGATTACCAGAAACCCTGGGGTTTAGAGTTAAACACAAAAAAGGGAACAAGGCCTGTTGGAA